AGAGTCCCCGGCGGGAGCGTCCACAGGCGCAAGGACGGCGCCCAGGTCCGCCGCTGAAGGCCCAGGAGCACCCAGGCCAAGCGCGCGCAGGCGCCGAGACCGACGACGAAGTCCCAGAGGCCCGTCCTCCCCACGCGCCCCAGCTCGTTCGGGCGGAGGATAAGCGCGGCGACGTCCGAGGCCCCGGCGGCCCCCCCGACGGGGACGACGACCTGCACCGTCGTCAACGGGTGGCATTCGGACGAACGGACGTTGCTGGCGACGCTGAGGATCATGGCGATGGTCTGCTCGAATTGCCATTGCGTCAGCCTGACCCTCGCCATGGCCGCGACCGCGGGTCAAAGGATGGGCATCTGCATGCGCCGCGGGAAGAACTTGCCCCATCCCAATTTGCTGCTCGACGCCTGGTCAGGTCGCTCCTGCGGCCGATCGGAGGTAGGGAGGACACGAGGGCCGCCAGGAGGTAGGAAGGACACGAGGGCCGCCAGGAGCAGCGACGCGTCGTCCCCGCTGCGGCCGCGGAAGTACAGGTAGCCGAGGCAGGTGGCGACGGTCGCGCCCAGATGGACCCGGCCGTTCCAGCCCCGGCGGAAGTCCGAGCAGCACTTCACGAAGCTGTTGACCCTCCGCTGGCAGTGCAGGAGCGCGCCCATGCCCGCCGACACCTGCTCGAGATAGGCGACGGTCAGCTCCCGACGCCCCCTCAGTTCCACGCGCGGGCGGCCAGCCGCCGCCGCGGGCTGCAACGCCTGAGGGTGCCGATGCCACCGTCCAGGGGGACGGCCAGACGCGGGCTGCCCCTCGGCGTCGGCGGCTTCGCCACGCGCCCCCTCCTGCCGGCAGCTGCCGCAGCCGCGTCGGGGCCCATCACGCCAGCAGCCACATCGGGGCCCACGCGTTTGATGCACGGCAGCCCGCGCGATGGGCCATCAGACGGGTTGAGATCGCTGGGGGCCCACCCGGCAATGGCGCGCAGCCTGCAGGCGAGCGAGAGGTCGCAGGAAGACGCTGCGCCGCTGGGCGGAGCCACCGCGGCCTCTGCCGACGGCAAGCGACGGCAAGCGACAGTGACACGTCGTCGACGCGGCAGGCGATCCGCCGGCCGAAGGCGTCGGACACGCGAAGCCGGCGCCGAAGCGCGGAGCCCGGCGCAAGGCCCCTGGCGCGGCAGATGTCGCAGGCCTCGCGCCACGGGAACGAGTGCGCGATAGCCCAGCCATCGCCGACCAGCAGGTCCGGGTCGAAAGACTTGCCCCAGTCCTTGGCGACCTCGGACGGCAGCTGGGCGGGGTCGCGGAGCACGGAGGCAGCGCTCTCCGGCCCCAGCGCGCGCCCACGCGCGTGGGCAGAGCCCTCGAAGAGGCAGCGCCACCTCTCGGCCGTTCGGCCCACCTCGGCGACGGCCTCGGGCGAGCAGCGACGGCGGCAGACTCCGCCGCCACAGCTAGACGCGCCGCTGGCCGCGACCGCGGGATGCCACACCGCGCCCGCGAAGCAGACGAAGAACGGGAGCAGCGATCGCACGTGCCAGAGCTCGCGTCGGACCGGCGGCCAGATCGGCAGGACCTAGTCCTTCGCCGCCTGAATGAACGAGGCGTCGAAGATCGCCAGCGAGCACCTCTTGAGCAGCGCGACCAGGGTGCAATGCCCCGAGATAATATCGACGAGCGCGCCCCTGACCTTCGGGCGCCGCAGGAGCTCCTCGATGGCGCAGCGGAGCCGATGGGCGCGGCGGGCCGAGACCCGCGCCGAGAGCTCTCGCCCGTCAAAGTTGAGGCCGACGAAGCTGGCTCGGCGAGCGGCGCTGGCCTGCTCGTGCACGACGAAGCCGAGAGACGAGAGCTCGCGCTCGACCTTCTGCGCGACGGCCCGCACATTCGCTGCCCGCGCAGGCAGCGCAGGCGGCGGGAGGCCGCGGCACGCCGCGGTCGCGGACCTGCTGCTCGGGCGACACGCGGGCGCGCGCGAGGGCGGCCTCCGAGACGCACTGGCAGAGGTGGAGGGCCCACGACAAACCCATGGGCCAGATGGTGAGCTGCGGCAGCAGCGGCAGCTCCGACTCACGCACAAGAGCGCCATCAAGCTGAGACACATCAGCAAGCCCCGCCCGCGCAGGCGGCGGGGAGGAGAATTCGCTGGCCCTTCCGGGCCTGCAAGGCGTAGAACGCGCTCGAAATGTCGGCGCTGCTGAATCACGCGTCGCCGCGCCACTGCGCCTCCACTCGCGAGGAAGCACTGGCGCTGGGGTGCTCGGCGCAAGGGGGCGGCCTGAAGCAGACATTGCAGACGCACGCGTCAAAGATGAGTCGCTGCTGCCCAGGCTTCTTGGCCGCGACGAAAACGCCCAGACGCCCTCGACGGCCGCTGGATCGAGACAGCCGCAGCATCCCTCGGCCCAGCAGTTCGGCAATGAAGTCGCCATAGGTGGCAGGATAACGTAGCTTAGGATCGATGCAAGGTTGAGCGGGACCGATATCTCGACGCAGAGCCGCTGCCTCTCCCGGCGGGCGAAGCACATGGGCCTTCGAGTTCTGCGGCCACAAACGGTCAGCTTCCATTAGGGCGGACTCCAGCGCAACGGGCGCTGAGCCGCCAGAAGGCCAGGACACGAGGTCCTTCCTGTAGGAAACCACGTTGCCGCGACCATCAGAGTATAGCGGGCAACTGGAGCGCAGGTCGGACAGGGGGCTGCGCGGGGCCATGTCGGCTGGCGCTCGGCCAGACTTGACATACTAATCAGCAGCGCAACCGGGGAACTGCTGCTGCAAAACTGAACGGGCGGCGAGCCGCCGCCGCCCAGCTGGTCGAGCGCGTCGATCCCGTCGTTGGCCCAGGCAATCCGAGCAGCGGAAGCGCACTGACAAGGCCCAGGCAGGGGTCCGTGAGGTAGGCGAGGAAGAGGGAGAACGTTTTCGCTGACGCCTACTGACCGGCCCAGCAGCTGCCTCGTGGCCAACTCGAGCGCAGACAGGTCGAAGCCATCGACTTGGTCACGCGACAGAGCCACCAGCATAGTCGTGGCGAACTCGTAAGACGTGCTAACGATGGAGTCGTTGACTGCCATCGCAGCGCTAAGAGCCGCCATCCAACCAAAGCGGTACCCGAGCAGCGAACCCCTTGGTAGGAGGCGACCCCGTGGTACGTCGTGGGGCCTGGGCCGGGCAAGTCAAGGAAACGGGCGGGCCGCCTGAGCTGCACGCTGTCCCGGCACTCGCGATGGCGCTGGCCCAAGCTGTCGCAAGCGGTCGCGAGGATGCGGAAGTCGCCGCCCGCGGCGGCGGCGGCTGCAGGCCCCGCGGCCGCCCCGCCGGAGGGTCCGGCAGAGGCGGGCAAGGCGGACGCCCCAGCCTCAGGCCCGCCCACCAGCGTAGCGCGGGCGGCCAGACCACGGGGCCCGGCACCAGCAGCGGGGACGGCGGCGGGCGCGGCTGCAGGGGCAGCGCCTCCGGCTGCGGCCGCGGCCATCGCGGCCGGCGCGCCGCGGCGACGCCGCCTCCAGGGGGCCCAGCACCTGGGGCCGAGGCGACGATGGCAGCTTCGGGCGCGGCGCCAGGGCAGGGACCGCCGCCCGCGCCGCAAAGCTCGGTCATGGAAGGCCAGCCTGCCCGCAGCGAGGGCGCACGCCTGGGCGACCTCAGCAGCGGCCGGCGCATCCGCGAAGTCGTAGCACTTGACGCCAGCAAGGCAGGCGGCGGCCCCGTGCGGGGCACCCGCGGCCCAGTGCATCCACCTGTTCTTGATGTCGTCGTTGCTGGCAGTCCTGGATCTTGCACGTCGAAGTCCGGCATGAGGACGCTGAAGTGCTCGGGGTGGGCAGCCTGGATGCCGACGACGACGATCCGCATGTGCGCCTGGCGCGGTGGCGGCTCGCAGTACTCAGTCCACATCTTATCGTAGACGCTGAGCATGAGAAGCGGCCGCGGCCTCCAGCCCACCCCCTGCCAGGACGCCTCTCCGCGAGGTCGAGCCGCACGGAGGGCTCCTCGTCCGACGGGGCGGCCGCCGTGGCGCGACGGCAGGGGCAAGGGCGGGCAGCGCTGACCACCAGGACCAGCCCCAGGGCCCAGCAGGCCAGCTTCGCGGCCAGCAGCGGCAGGCCGCCGAAGCCCGCCTCCCAGGCCAGGGAGGTATTGCCCTTGCCCACGCGCGCGGGACCAGGCGAGGCAGGCCGGGCAAAGAGGGGGCCACGGAGCCGCGGGCGCCAGCTGCCACCAGCGCGCCAGGAACAGGATGACTGTGTTGCTCACAAACGGGAGACCGATGCCGGGTCGAGCGGGGCCCAGAAAAAGAAGTAGAGCCGACGCGGTTGCAGAAACGCGACGACCTTCACTGCTCTGGAGATGATTCGTATACACACAGTCGTCATCATCATCATCATCATCATCATCATCATCATCATCATCATCATCATCATCATCATCATCATCATCATCATCATCATCATCATCATCATCATCATCATCATCATCATCATCATCATCATCATCATCATCATCATCATCATCATCATCATCATCATCATCATCATCATCATCATCATCATCGTCATCGTCATCGTCATCGTCATCATCATCATCATCATAAACAACAACATCACCATCGTTATCATCAACAACATCATCAGCAGCATCATCAGCAGCATCTTAATCATGAGTCATCATCATGAATCAGCATCATCATCATCAGCATGATCATCATAATCAGCATCAGCATCATCATCATCATCATCATCATCATCATCATCATCATCAGCATCAGCATTATCAGCAGCAGCAGCAGCATCAGCCTCATCATCCTCATCATCAGCATCATCATCATCATCAGCATCATCATCATCATCATCATCATCATCGTCATCATAATCATCATCATCCTCGTCCCATCCTCCTCCTCCTCATCCTCCTCCTCCTCATCCTCCTCCTCCCCTCCTCCTCCTCCCACTTCTGCAGGGAGGACTCGTTGCCAAGAGAAGAGCTGGCGCTGGCAAAATCAGCCCAGACAATCCTGCATCCTCTTGGAAGGACCCGCGAGATCGTGCGACAACCTCTGAGACCACGGCTGCTCCCCCTGCAGCCAGTGCGGCTTGAAGCCAGCGGCCGTCTTCTTCCCGCTGCAGAGCATGTGGTTCTGCTCCACGTACGGGCTTTTGCAGGACGCGTCCATCGTGCAGATCTTGGCGCGGAGAGAGGAGCAGGGGGAGAAGGAGCAGGAGGCGGGGAAAGAGGAGGACCGGTGTAAACCGAAGACGCATCAACGGTGCTGCCATAAATCCTACATCCGAGCTCCCTCTTCGTTGGGCCCCGCAAGAATTAGTTGTCCTTCATTTTGTCCAGCGATGTGAACCCGAGCGCCGAGCGCGAGTCTGAGCCCGCTCGCACGCCACAGGAGGACCAGATGTCAAGCCCATGCAGCGCGCAGCTTACAAACGAAACCACCCCTCAGCGCAGATCAGGCGGGCGGCCACAGGGTGGGAGCTTTAATCGGATGCAGAGCAGAAAGGGGAAGAGGAGGATAGGCACGCGATACTCGTCGCATGACCTTCTTCTTGACCAGCAACGTGAAAACGAGTGTCGAGAGCGGGTCTGAGCTCGCTCGCACGCCACGGGAGGGCCCGAGGTCAGGCCCGTGCAATGTGCAGCTTACAAACGAAACCACCCACCTTATATAATCAAGCGTCGACAGAATGATGAGCCTGGCCGACCGGCCGCCCAGGGTGGGCGGGTTGGGAAACCAGAGCGCAAATGTTTGACTGCTTTCAGAGCCTAATTAAAGGGGCCTACCTTTAACTTCGCCGCAAGAGAAATCATGGGGCAAGCTATCTCGAGCACCAAGGTCTTCGAGTCTAATTGTAAATTGTCGTGAGACGGAGCGGCTTTCTTTGACCCCGCAAGGGCGTTGGAGCAAAACGTGAAGGAGGGAACCCTGGAGCGTCGAGCATCTTCGAGCGCATCCAGCAAGGCCCGCCGAGGATTCCCCCAAACGGCCCTGCCCTTCGCCAAGTGCCAGGTATACAAACGAACACGCATAGGCCCTAGGGGTCGGCCTAGGGGCAGGCCCTGGGAGGGGCCTAGGGTCGGAGGAGGAACCGGAAACGGAAGCAGAACGAACCGTGACCAGGGGGCCTTCTTCGAACCCAAAAGAAGAATGAAACCGGAACCAGAACCTGAACCAAAACCGGAGCCGTGACCAGGGTGGCCTTCTTCGAAGCCAAAAAAACGGAACCGGAACCGGAACCAAAACCAGAACCAGAACCGTGACCGGTTGGGCCTTTTTCAAAGCCAAAAGAAAAAAAGAAACCAAAACCGGAACCGGAACCAGAACCGGAACCGTGACCAAGGGGGCCCAGAAGAAAAAGAAAAAACCGGAACCAGAACCGGAACCAGAACCGGAAGAAAAAAAAACTGGAACCGGCACCAGAACCGGAACCAAAACCGTGACTGGGGGGGCCCTCTTCGAGGCCAGAAGAAGAAGAAAACTGGAACCGGAACCGGAACCAGAACCGGAACCGTGACCGGGTGGGCCTTCTTCAAGGTTCGAAGAAAAAGGAAAAACCGGAACGGGAACCGGAACCAGAACTGGAACCGTGACCAAGGGGGCCTTTTCAAGGCCAGAGGAAGAAAGAAACCGGAACCGGAACCAGAACTAAAACCGTGACTAGGGGGACCTTCTTCGACGCCAGGAAAAAAACCATACCAGAACCGGAACCCGAACTGTGACCAGGGGGGCCTTGTTCGAGACCAGAAGAAGAAGGAAACCGGAACCGGAACCGGAACCAGAACCGGAACCGTGACCAGAGGGCCTTTTTCAAGGCCAAAGAAAAAAGGAAACCGGAACTGGAACCAGAACCGGAACAGGAACCAGGGTGGTGGTCTTCTTCGAGACCAGAAGAAAAAGAAAACTGCAACCAGAACCGGAACCAAAACCGGAACCAGAACCGTGACCCAGGGTTTTTTTCAACCCCCGAAGAAGAAGGAAACCGGAACCGGCACCGGAACCAGAACCAGAACCAGAACCTGAAGGTCTTGTTCAGGCCTTTGAGAACAAAGAAACCAAAACCGGAACGAGAACAGGAACCAGAACCACGGGGGCCTTCTTCGAGCCCCAGAAGAAGAAAGAAACCGGAACCAAAACCAGAACCGGAACCGGTCGCGGGTGGGTCGCGGGGTAGGTCGCGGGGTGCGTCGCGGGGTGGGTCGCGGGGTGGGTCGCGGGGTGCGTCGCGGGGGAGACGACGACAACAAACAACAACAACAACAACAACAACAACAACAACAACAACAACAACAACAACAACAACAACAACAACAATAACAACAATAACAACAACAACAACAGCAGCAGCAACAACAACAACAATCATGTTAAGACTGTTCGACCTTACCTGCTCGAGTGTCCAATAACGCGTATTTCCTAAACCCTCGATACCCGTCCTCTCCGTCTTCGATCGAACCCCTTTTGGGGGGTATACCTTTCTTCCCTGCAGGCCGGGCCCCGGCAAGCGGCGGGGCGGCCGCGGACCGTCGGCCTGGCCAGCGGCAGCGCTGATCGGCGGGGCGGCCGCGGACCGTCGACCCGACCCCAAGAGGGACGGACAGGGGGCCGACCACGACGAGGACGACGACGACGACGACGACGACGACGACGACGGCGACGACGACGACGACGACGACGA